TAGGGATCAGCAAACTTTGGCCAATGGGCCAAATGGCCAAATGTGGCCCACTTTGCTTATTTTTGCAAATAAAGATTTATTGCAACCTAGCCGTGTCTATTCTTTTACATACTGTCAGTGGGCGTGTTTTCATTACAACACAGAAGTCAGTAGTAGCAACAGTGACTGTCTGGCTCTCAAAGCCTAGAATATTTACTATCTGGCCCTTTAGGGGAAATCTTTGCCAACCCCTATGCAGACCTTTGCTTCACAAATCACTATTGTTACTGTTTCCCACCTTCCACTGAAGCATTAATGGTGAAACCATAAAGGAAACAGTTTTTATACGTGGTGCAGAAATGCCCTGTAGCGGGAGATTCTCCTGTTCTTCAGCAGGCTCCCAGAGATAATGGACCTGAAGGAGTGCTTCTGTCTGGTGACGTCATGGTGGCCCTGGACTCCCCAATGTCATTTTCCTGCCTAGCCTTCCCAGATGGTCAAGAAAAAGACCTCCAGTGTCAGAAAGGGAGCACAGGTGTGTTCACTTTGATTTAAAAGAAGGGCAGGCAGGATTTGAGGAGGGCCCGCCAGCCTGGGTGTCAGGGACTAGGCTTCTATCCTGATTGTGCCTCGGAGCAGCCATGAGTTTGGATGAGATACACAACTCTCTAAAAAACAGGAAGATGGAGGAGATGGTCCTCAAAGTTACCTCTGTATCTAAAGGCTCTGCGAACTTTTCAGAACATACTTAAAGATTGGCAAACTAAATTCTGGTGAATTCTTTTGTGAAGAGGAAATGAATATGCTTTGTCTCGGAAGCAGACTGAGAAATGAAGTGTACTGTGGGAAATACGGGACAAAACCAGCACTGATGCACACTGTTTAGAGAATGGTTTCCTCGATGTGGAGCCCGAGTGTGTGAACGGCTAACGCACTTACCTGCCAATTGAAAGGCTGGAGGTTCAAGTCCACTCAGAGGCCCCATGGACAGAAGCCCTGGCATCTATTCAGAGAAATCACCATTGGAAACCCCGTGGAGCAGATTCTACTCTGATCCGCATGAGGTTGCCATGAGTTGGAATCAGAGTTGACTCTGGCAGCTTTTTATTTTGCCCCTCCCCTGTGCAAAACGTATTCCATGGTGAGGAATACACAGCAAAACCGAAGGGGTGGTGAGAAGTGGAACTCAGAGGCTCTGAAGCTTCTTCCCACAATTCTTCAATTTGGCTGTGAATTTATAAGGCCAACGATCATGTGTTCTCTAAAGGTTGGAAGACACATGCTTTGCTGTGAAGGTGTGAAAGATTTTGTGATCCAAACAGTTCTTTCAAGTTTTCAAATTTTGTTGTGTCTAGCAGAGTTCAAGGTTACAGCAGCTAGGAGGAAAGGATGGGAGGGGCTGAGGCAAGTGTTTGCCATGAAGACTTGGCCGCTCCTATGGATTGAACTGTGTCCCCTAAAACATGCATTGGAAGCCTGACCCTACACCTGGATGTGGTCTCATTTGCAAAGAAGGTTTTCTTTGCTGGGTTCACGAGGCCCTATCAGTGTAGGGTGGGCCCTACACCTAATCATTTCTGAGTCATATTACAAGCCAGTGAGATACAGAAGTGAGTACAAACAGGGGAAGACCGATGCCATGTGGAGACTGCCAAAGAAGTGAGGAGCAGGCAAAGGTTTCCCCCAGAGCTGAGCAACAGAGTGAGCCTTCCCTAGAGCCACCACTCTGAATTCTCACCTCCAGCCTCCCGGACCGTGAGAAAACATAGCTGTCTTTTTTGAAGCCACACACTTGTGGGATTTCTGTCCATTTACCTTAAAGCTCTCCTCTTCCTCTTGGTACACAGGGTCCATGCTGGCGATGGGCGTGATGAACTCGACGGCACTCAGAGGCTTGTGTGTCTGCTGCCGGACCCTCCGCTCTGTAAGCACACTTCTGACCACCTGGACGATGTGTCCCTGGGTGAAGCCATCGGTTACCTTCGCCAGGGAACTTATATTCAGAGAATTCGTCAAGATGCCTCCGTTTTGTTGGATGATTTCTTTCCATAAAACTGTTGTGTCCAGGATGGGGAAGAAGAGACAGAATAGGGGTTACTGCACAGAAAGCAGTGTGGATCTGGCTCCTCTACCAAGCTGCATCTCGTAAGAAAGAAGATACAAGGGTCTATTTCAGTGTATCTGTAATTCAGATGAACAGAAAGCGAAAATATTGAAATGCTTTCCTCTCGGTAACTCAGCCATAAGATGTACATACTCATGACCCTGTGGTCTACAGACCAAGTCCCTTAGGAACTGCCATGGGTGAATGAGATCATGGTAGTGTCGCTCTGGGAGCTCTGTCGGCATAGTGCCTAAGGCACTTGACTGCTAACCAGAAGGCTGGCAGTTCAAACCCACCAGCCACTCCTCAGAAGGAAGACTTGGCAATCCACCTCTGTAGATACTGCCTCGGAAACCCAAGGAGGGGTCGCTATGAGTTGGATTCAATTCGACGGCAGTGAGTTTTTTTTTTTTTTTTTTTTAGTGTCCCTTTAGCAGGGGACCTCTGAAGAGGTTTAAAACCTTCAAACACTAGAAGTTCATGTGGGGTGTACATACGGGCCCTCTGAGAATTGGAATGTTATACTCCCCAGAGTTTGGATACACAGAATTGAATTTACATGCTTTTTAGTTATAAAGTTCTCTCTTTACATTATTTTTGTATTTGGAATTCAAGTGGGGAGTCCACTTAACTGCTGGGCTCAGGTCCCCCCAGTGCAAGGGGCCCTAGCATGCACTTTATTAACTATAGTAGTTTGGCCCTATCTGCTCCGCTCAGCAGCAGTCACACACAGAGGCTGACTGAAGTCACCAGACAGACACCCAGCTGTCTTCGGGGAGAGTGGGACCTGGGGAGACTGAGAGAGTCCACTTGGAACAGGAATGTTATGAAAAGGCATGGGGATGGTATACCCGATGCCTAATTCGTAGGAACTGAACACCTGCCCAACATTTAAACTCAGACCACATTTAGAGAAGCACATCCATGGTGTACAGGGGCCCACAGGCAGTAAGGCAACCACATCCAGACTGTGGGGAAAGAGGAAGGGCATTTGCAAGGCCATTCATTTCAGCACAGGGGACAGTCTCAGCACCAGGGGAAGCTGGTCAAGTATCTTCAAAGCATTTTGACCTGCTTTGAGGAATGTTAGAAATTCTTTTTTTTTTTTTAAATAATTTATTTCACTTTTGTTGTTCTTGTTGGGCATACACACAGAACATCCACCTAATCAACAGCTTTTCCAGGCACAATTCAGTGACAGAGTCCATTCTTCAAGGTGTGCAACTGTCCTCACCCTCCACTTCTGAGTTGTTCCTCCCCCATGAACACACCCGCACTGTCCCCTAAGGTTGCTATCTAACATTTCCAATTGTGTTGTCCACTTGATCCCACATAGATAGATCTTAGAAGAGCTCAATACTCAAGGCAGACAGTAAAGATCATCTCGGAAATGTCAGAGGCTCATCCACTTTCCATGGCTCTACAAAGTCTGGAGTCCGTGAGAATTTAAAAATCCGTCCTGCATTTCTCCTCCTTCCTCAGGATTCCTTTATAGAATCTTTGATCACAGTGTTCAGTAATGGTGGCCAGGAACCATCCAGTTCTTCTGGTCTCAGGGAGTTCTGGTTCCCTAGTGCCCCTCTGACAGGAATATACCACAAACGGGATGGCCTTAACAAACAGGAGTTTATTCCCTCACAGTTTGGAGGCTTTAAGTCTGAGTTCAAAGTGCCAGGCTCTAGGGGCTGGGTGAAAGCCCTTCAACCTTGGGGTCCAGCTCTGCCTCCTGTTCCCAGCCCACTGAAACTGGAGGCTTTTCTTCACTCAGACAGCTGCTGGCTGCTGAGGCTGACAAGCCCAAGGTTGGCAAGTAATAAGGCACAGTCCTGGTGTTACCAAACCACATGGCAGGCCATTAATTTAAGTCCATTAAAAGTCCCAAGATCAGCAGAGCATGGCAGGCTGCTGAATGACGACATGGGTACATGCAGGTTCCAAGCATGCCATAAGCTAGAGACCGTTCCCTAAGGCTTCTCCTTATATACAGGAAGCAGATCACATTCCCTAAGACAGCTACTCAGCGGCTCACAGTAGATTCCACCATGGAGTTGATTGCCTGTCTCATCATGGGGAATACTACATCCAGCTGCCCAGCCACTCAACCAGGCCCAGCCAAGTTGACACACAAACTTAACTACCACAGGGTCAATTCTGGGTCCGTTAAGTGACTAAATCACCCAAATGTATTGATTAAAAATGGTTAACAGAAAGGAAAGGTCTAATTACTGAAAGGAATGTAACATGGCATAACTAGGAACACTTCAGGGGGTCTGCTTTGTGGGTCGTGAGTTTGTGACTTAGTTCAGCAATGTGTTTCCACTATCCTCATGGGGGTGGTTACGCGCTCAGCTGCTAACTGACAAGTGGGACGCTCAAGTTCACCCAGAAGTGAACTCAGATGAAAGGCTTAATGGTTGTACTTCCAAAAAATCAACCATGGAAAAGACTATGTAGTACAGATCTACTCCGTCACTGTGGGATCGTCATGAGGAGGAGTTGTGATGGTTTCTGGGTCCTCTTGGGTGGTTGTGGTCCTTGGCTGAGTGGGTAAGTTGAGCTGCTGGGAAAGGGCAGACCTCCCCCTGGGGCCTGTGGTTTCTCAGAGGTATAAAAGGTTAGGGATCAAGGTTTCGGAGACCTTCCGTGAGGCCAGCAAAGTCCACGGGGGCCTCCAAGAGCAGGCCTAACCCTCGCATCTGCTTTGCTTCCTTGTTGGTGGGTTTAGTGGAGCTCAAGCCCAAATTAGTCTTATTTGTCAAGTGGAAATATGAAGACCTACTTTGCAGGGCTGCTGTGAGAAATAAGCAATGTATAAACGTGCTTCTTCATGGCACCTGGAAGAGCACCCTTCTACCACATGGTGGGGGCTTTATTCTCTGTAACTATCGCTGCTGTCACTGTAATTATGATTAGTGTAGTCTTTCCATCCCACTCTGAAGGTCCTTAACCCTCATTAAAACACTGATTATAAAAGAGAACATAAAACAAACTACAGAATGTTTCAAAGCACAGTTGTGGAAGGATGAAATTATAGTAGGTGAGGATTATTCTGATCCAAATTTAACTTTTCTTGAGTTAGAAAGTACAACCTGTGGTAAAACACCACCAACACCCACAGCAGCTGCCACCACCACCACCAAAGAATGCCACCACTTGGGACCAACCACACTTTTTCTCCAAATTTATTACATCTGAAAAAGAACAAACCGGAAGCCTGCTTTATGGAAGCATCAAGGTGATGGTCCCTAAGCTGAAGTCTTAACAGACGGCCCAGGCCAGGATCTGGGAACAGCCTCAGCTTTGGACATTCATGTACCAAACCCACACCTGTGGGGACAGTAGACCAGGCAGACTCGAGCAATGAGGGACAAGAGCTCCCCTGACAAACACTCAACTCTCCTCCCCACCCACCTGTTAAGTCACAGCCTTGAAGGTCCCAGGGCAAGTCAACTGATCTTTCAATGTAAGTAATCCCTCTACAAATAATGATTCATTTGTAACAGAATTCAAAACAAAACAAAACAAAAAACCAACAACTATCAGTACTCTCCACCACTCGTCTGTCAGTCTGTCGTCCTATGGTGGCTGCATGTTGCTGGGAGGCTGGAGGCTATGCTAGTGGTATTTCAAATACCAGCAGGGTCACCCATGGTGGACAGGTTTCATTAAGAGTCCAGACTAAGACAGACTAGGAAGAAGGAAGAGGCCATCAACTTCTCAAAGAATTAGACAGTGAAAACCTTATGAACAGCAGTGAAACACTATCTGATATAGTACTGAACACTTTATGAATAGTCCTGAAACACTATCTGATATAGTGCTGGAAGATAGGCTCCTCAGGTCAGAAGGCACTCAAAATACGACTGGAGAAGACCCGCCTCCTCAAAGAGGAACCAACCTTAACGAAGTGGATGGAGTAAAGCTTTTGGTACCCCCATTTGCTGATGTGATATGACTCAAAATGGGAAGAAATAGCTGCAAATATCCACTAATAATTGGAACATGAAATGTACGAAGTATGAATCTAGAGAAATTGGAAGCTGTCCCAAAATGGCAAAGATAAAGATTGATATCCTAGGCATTAATGAGCTGAAATGGACTGGTTTTGGCCATTTTCAATCAGTCAACCATATGACCTACTATGCTGGGAATGACAAATTGAAGAGGAATGGCATGGCCTTCATCATCACAAAGAATGTTTCAAGATCTACCTTGAAGTACAATGCTCTCAGTGATAGGATAATATCAACATGCCTACAAAGAAGACCAGTTAATACAACTATTATTCAAATTTGTGCACCAAAACACCAAGGCAAGGACGAGGAAAGTGAAGATTTTTACCAACTTCTGCAGTCTGAAATAGACCACACATGCAATCAAGATGTATTATTATTGGTGATTGGAATGCAAAAGTTGGAAGTTGGAAGCTTCGAATCACAATATTGAAGGATTCTATGGGCAAAATATTGAATGATGCAGGAAACATCCAAAGAAAATGGAAAGAATACACAGAGTCAGTGTACCAAAAAGAACTGGTCAATATTCATCCATTTCAGGAGGTAACATACGATCAAGAACCAATGGTATTAAAGGAAGAAGTCGAAGCTGCATTGAAAGAATTGGTGAAAAATAAGGAATTGATGGAATATCCATTGACATGTTTCAACAAATGGATGCCATCCTGGAGGCACGTACTCATCTATGACAAGAAATTTAGAAGACCATTACCTGGCCAACTGGAAGAGATATTTGTACCCATTCCAAAGAAAGGTGATCCAACAGAAAATAGAAACTATTGAACAATATTGTTAATATCACATGCAAGTAAAATCTTGTTGAAGATAATTCAAAAACAGTAGCAGCAGTGTACTGACAGAGAACTTCCAGAAATGCAAGCTGGATTTAGAAGAGGACGTGGAATAAAGGATACCATTGGCTCAAAGCAAAGAATACCAGAAAGATGTTTACTTGTGTTTTATTGACTATGCAAAGGCATTTGATTGTGTAGATCATAACAAATTGTGGGTGACATGGAGAAGAATGGGCATTCCCGAACACTTGATTGTGCTCATGAAGAACCTGTACATTGACCAGGAGGCTGTTGTTCAAACAGAACAAGGGGGACACTGCATGGTTTAAAATTGAGAAGGGAGTGTGTCAGGGTTGTATCCTTTCACCACACTTACTCAATCTGTACGCTGAGCAAATAATCTGAGAAGCTGGACGATATGAAGAAGAATGTGGCATCAGGATTGGAGGAAGACTCATTGACAACCTGCAATATGCAGAGGACACAACTTTGCTGCTGAAAGTGAGGATGACTTGAAGCACTTACTGATGAACACTGAAGAATACAGTCTGCAGTATGGACCACATCTCAACATAAAGAAAACAAAAATCAAAATGCTATATATGTAGTCAACATGCTATATATGCAGTCAATGCATTTATCGTATGATAAACAGTGTTTATGGCACATTAACTGTTTATATGGTATGCTGACCATTTAAAATGTATGATGCTTGGTATTCAAGTAGAATCTGGGTCAAGATTCCTCAGAAGACATGAATCATTGGTTACTTCTCAAAAGCTCACCATTTGTCCGCCCTGGACATGGAGGCAGGGTTCTGGAAGGTTGTCACAGCTGGGTGTGTGGGACTTGCCCACTTGTCCACAGTCATCTCAAGATTCAGACAGTAGGAAAGAGAACCAGGCTTGCCTTTCTCTCATGTTTGAGGAACCGGATTTGTTAGCCTTTAAAAGAGTAGCTTCTACTGCTTTTACAAAGCCACCTCCTCATGGGCTCTGGACTGTAAGTAGCCGCATGGAGCCTGAGAGGGGAGTCAGGCTGGGGTGAGTCCCAGCACGGTGGCTGGGTGGAGGTGGGAGTCCTACAGTGAGCACGGGAGGGCAAGCCTTCCCTGGGGCCTGGCTGTGGGGGTGTGGGAAGGACCAGAGGAAGTGAGAGTGCTGAGGGCAGCAGAGCAGTCCCCGCGTGGTCCAAGTGGTTAATGCATTCACTGCTAACAGAAAGGTTGGAAGTTCAAGCCCTTTCAGTGGCACCTCAGGAAAGGCCTGGAGTTCTTCTGAAGAATCGCCCACTGAAGACCCTGTGCCTCACAGCTCTACGCTGACACCCACGGGGTCATCCTAAGTTGGCGTTGCCTTGACAGCAGCAGGTGGTGGCGGTGAAGACAGGGGAGGTGCTCTCCAAGCCAACTGCTGTATTTTACTTTCTTCTTGGGTGTGAAAGTCAGGCTCATCTGCAACCCTGTTCCCTTCTTTAGATTGGAAAGCCAGGTCTCTGGGTCCTACTCACCTGCCTTTGACACCCCTAGAGGATTCCGTCCTGGCCAGCACTCCTGATGATGTAACAGCTTATCTCTCTCTTTTTTTTTAAATGTTGTTATTTGAGCTTTTATAAAAGTACGAGATGTGGATAATATAATCTGGGTGAGTTAGGAACCCTCTTTAAGCCCAGGTTCCAGAGCCACCTTAAGACATCAACCTACCCCTCTGAGTGGATGCTGGGTCCAGGGTGAGGGCCTGTGATGAATGGGGTCATTACTGAGACAGACCCCAAGGACAAGAGGCAAGAGGAGGGAAGCACTGGGAAGGTGGAGGGAAGGCGCCCCCAGGGACTTCTGGGGCCTAGACAAGGCACTCATCAACCTTGCGGAGAAGTTCTGAAGAACACGGCTGATTTTGGGGAAAGGAGACAGAAACTGAATTACTATGTTTCCCAGGCTGATCCACTTCCACTTCTTCACGCTGTCACTCCCTCACGTGCCTTGAGGGAGAAGTGGGATTGTCCACAGCCCACATACCTTTGGTGCTCAGCTCTGGTGTGGATTTCCAGAGCATGCTCAGTGGACTGGAAGAGAGTGTCCGTGAGCCCTGCACAGACAGCAGCAGGGGCAGGCTCTGTTTAAGACAAACCCCAGCCTTGGAGGCTGTGGAAACTGCAAGATCACTGTAGGAAATGTCGACAGCATTTGTGATGGCAGTGACGAGGGTGGGCTGAAAAATCACCCACTAAGAAAGAGACATGTGAGAAGGGTGTTGTTCAGTGGGCAGAGCCCTGCGGCCCACAGGAACCGCTGCATGCAGTTTGCTATCTGCCCACAGGTGAAGGGACACACTTCCCTTCCTCCACCAGGTTACTCTTTGAGAGATACAGGTGGGGATCTGCCATGGGACCTGAGTCCTTAGTGACGCTTCTTGTTTATCAAAGAAGGACTGACTGACCATGTCCCTGCTACGTATCAGTAGCTTCATTATTTAGGGCCTGTAGTTGTTTGAACAGGGGGACCCACTCAATTCAAAGTCAGGAATAAAACCCTGTCCTCTTCACATAAATGTCACCCTATCTTATTCCATAAGGCATTACACGAGAGAGAGAAAGAAGAAAATTACAATGAGAAAAAGAAGAACAGGGAGCTCAGAGGAGGAGGAGGAGAAGGAGGAGGAGGAGGAGGGATACCGAGACAGGAGCAGGGATGGAGATGTACTTCCTGTCAGTCTGTTGTCTGTGGTAGCTTCTGTGTTGCTGTGATACCAGGAGCAATGCCAAAGATGCTTCAACTTCCAGATTATGACAAACTAGGAAGAAAGACCTGGTGATCTACCTTCCAAACATAAGCCAATGAAAACCTTATGGATCCCTGATACAGTGGTAGAGGGTGAGACGGGTTGACCATGAACATTGAGCAGGGCTGGACAATGTTCCATTCTGTCACACGGCTGCCATGGGTTGGAGTCAACTAGAGTGTAACTAACAACAACAAGAGAGAGAGGCAGAGAGGAAGAAATGGAAGAAGTAAGAGGGATGGGGAGGACAGGGAAGAAGACCCACCAGTACATTATCACCACCACCTCACCTCCACCACCACCATCACTTCTACCATACCATCACCTCCACCACCATCATTATTACCACCTAGGTCCAGTATCACCATCACATCACCCCCACTGCCACCAGCGGTTCTACCACTGTCACTGTCCTCCCCATCACACCACTGCCACCACCATGGACAACACCATCTACAACCCTGACACCACCATCCCCATCTCAATACTAAATCTACCACCACTACAGCCGCCATGCTGGAAGTTAGATATGGTGTCAAAGATGGCCTTGAGTAAGCCACATCTCCTGGCACGCACGCCATTGTGTCATCTGCTGCCCCTCAATAGGGCTAGGACTACAGAGTGGTGAAGGGGACTCTGTGACTTCTGAGGGGGTCCAAAGAATCCTGCGGCTTCTCCCTGAGGCTCTCAAGGGGCTCTCTCTTGGTACCTAGGTGCCATGCTGTGAAAAGAAATGGTGGTCCATGAGAAAGACATCTGCTCCATGTACACAAGCTGAGGGACTCGAACCTACCATCAAAAGAAAAATCAGCAGCACGTGGATTTCTGTCACCTTCAGGGCCAAGGATAATAACGCTCACAGGTTCCTTCTGTCTTCGGTAAAGCGGAATATGACACAGAGACGTGTCACTTCAGTCTTTGTTGGGCTGTTGGCTGCGTGTCCAGCCTGCTCCTGCCTGTTGGTGTCCTGTGCATGTGGAATGAGACGCTGCCCAGTCCTGGGCCACCGCCATGACTGACTGTTAGGACCCAAAGCGTCTGGCGGGCTGATTCTCAGAAGTCAGTCCCCGGGCCTTTCCTCCTACTCAGTCTGGAAGCTCCACTGACACGTGCTCAGCACACAGCAGCACACAGGCCTCCATGACCGACGGGCTGGGGTTGTGCAGGAGGTGCCTTGGCTGGCAATCGGACCTGGGTCTCCTGCACGGAAGGCTGGGGTTGCAGCCCTGAGGCATCACGGCCTCCATCGCTGTGTGTTTGCAGCCCTGCATTTTGTGGTGGGTCCAGGGCCGACGCTCTCCACTGCACAGGCTCTGCTTACGCCCCTGCTCATGACTGATGACCACTGGATTCGGGGCACCCCCTGCCTCCACACACCTGCAAGCAACCCGCAGGTGGTCCGGCCTCAGTCACCGCACGCGGAAGGGGCTGGGAGTTCTTACCGTATCTAGAAGCATAGTCCGGTCTAGGAACCAAAATAATTTTTTGGTAAACTCTGCAGAAAGACTGAAGTTCTGCATCAAAAGGCCGCTGCGTCGTCCCCACGATCAGGATCCGATCGTCCGGTTTCAGGAGCTTCAGGATTTTGGGAAGCTGGTTTTTAAGGCGTTTAGGTTCCATCTGGGAGAAACCGAGAAGGAGGGGGACAACAAAACCAGGTCACACATGGAAAAAAGGATCAAGAACTAAAGGAACCGACCGTAAGGACACAGCACAGCATCAGTGGTTAAAGCAGTGGCCGGGCTCCGCCGAGCACCACTTCCTAGAGTTTGTCCCGGGACACCGCTTGGGATGGGCTGGCCATTTGGGGCTTCATCCCTTGTCCACCTGGCTGACTTGAATGGCTGGCACTCGCCGCCTCTGGTATTCAGACTTGGAAAGCCGAAAGGCAGGAAGCACCTGACAGCATCCTAGCACCTTGAGCCCAAGCACAGGAAGCGGTGACTGGCTTTTGAGCAGAAGGAGGCTTGATGCGGTTATAATTAGCCGGTGGTGCTCCCACCTCCCTCTGAGCTGCCGGGAAGGCGAAGCGAAGGCCTCCCGGGCTCCCTGGGTAACAATGAGGACCGTAAGTCCCCAAAACACCCGGTGACGTAAGGTTGCGAGACTCATCCTCAAAGCAGACCTCAAATAGCGAGGAGCTGTGTCCTCTTAGAATCGTCTCCGCACTAATGAGGGAGAGGAGCAGGAGGTGCTGGGGCCTCTGCGCGGACCCCCGGTGGGAAGGCCCCTGGCCCGGGGGAGGCAGCTTTGGCCACGCTGCCATGGGCAACGCGCCGGCTGTAACTTGAGCCCCGCAGGCACAGGATGAAGAGCAAGTGTGGGAGGACGGCAGGCGATGCAGAGCCCCTAGCGAGGTGCCCTGGCCACTCTGGGCCATGTCTGCACCCCCACTCAGCTCGGGCAGCTGAGCAAACTGCATGGAGGTCACTGAGCCCATGGCAGGCCCACATGGGACAGCCCTTTACGCAGGAAGGGGCCCGATGCCATCTAAGAAGGGGTGGGCGTTCGAGGAAGTCCAGCCTTAGGAATAACAGTGGGTCACGGCAGGCATTGGGACCACAGCCTGCAGGCAGGGGTGCCTGAAGACCGAGTGTGACTTGTGGGCCTTTGCAACGGGGGATGGCGCGTGCATGGGACCAGGGGAAGGTCTTCGGGTTGGAACAGTTTCTCACAGACTCTGGCCCTGGAACTGGGATCACCCAAACTGCCGGCATAAGGAGGAGAGGGAGGGGGTGTTCTGGGGCTCCCTGGAGCAGAGTGGAGAGAGATGGGAGGGCTGGAAGGAGGACCTCTGAGCAAGAGAGGGCGTCTTGGCCCCGTCTTCCTGGGTAAGCACGCACCCCCAGTAAGGACTGCAGAAGGAGACTGAGATGCAAATCTACATGCGTGAACGAGGCAGGCTGAGGAAGAGCTGGTGCCTCTGAGTCGTGGGGTTGGGGAGGAATACTGAACAACCATGGCCAGAAGGACAGACAATCTGTCTTGGAGGAGCCAGAAGGCTCCTCAGAAGTGAGAATGGTGAGACTTCATTTCGTGTACTTTGGGCACGTGGTCAGAAGGGATCACGCCCTGGAGAAGTACAGCGTGCTTAGTAAAGCAGAGGCGGCAAGAAAAGGAGGACCCCCAATGGCCTGAGACAGTGGCTGCAATGAGGGGCTCAACACAGCAAGGACTGTGAGGCTGGCACAGGGCAGGCAGCGTTTTCTTCTCTTGTTCAGGGGTCGCTACGCGTCGACATGACTTGACGGCGCCTGACAACCGTGATGACTCCTCGCTTATCAACCACCTCATTATCTGACATTTCGCATTTATGAGAACAGTAAAAAATCTACTTAAATCCCCATAAAGTCAGGTAAGGACCCATGTGTTTTGAGTGGGAGTACCTCCCTTCTGAACCTCAAGTCCTTGATTTCTTCCCCAAGTTTTGGATGCAAATAAAGTTAAAGGAAAAAAAAAAACCTGAACTGAAAATAAAAGGCTGAACCCTGGGGCCTCGGACCATTTACCTGCAAGTATGCCCCATGGTTTCACCCAATCCTGGCCAGGCCGGCAGGCCGGTGGCTGCCCTATGTTTACCATCTGAGCAGAACTGTGGCTTTGGGCTCACCCTCTGAGAAGGCAGCAGAAGGGTGTAGACAGGACACGTGGTGGTCATTCTGCCACAAACCCCGAGATCCACCGTTTGCATACCTGGGGACCCTGGGGTCAGTGGGCGGCTGCCGCAGGCGACTGAGTGTTTCTCTTGAGAGCAAGAACGCAGCATGGGGTGGGGTAGGGTGGGCTCCCTCCTGGCTACAAAGCCTGACCCGATTAATTCTGCCTGTGATTTGAAATGGCACAAGTTGATCAGCCTGCCAGAAGGTGCAGAAGTCATGGTGTGGGGGCAAGTGAGATATGGATGGATGGTGGCTTCAGGGGGGAAACAGCCCCATAAGACTGCCTCTGAGATGAGTTTTCACATAACAACCTGGTCTTTGGAACCTAACCATGTCGGTAAGTGAGGAGCAGGTGCATATTTATATATGAAGAAGCTTATACATAAGAGATTCATTGAGAGATCATTTACACATCAAAAAAATACCAACTCATATTGACCCTACAAGACAGAAGAGAGCTGCCCCACAGGGTTTCCTAGGTTTAATCTTCACAGGAGCAAGTCACCAGGTCTCCCATAAAGTGGTTGATAAGTTCAAACCCTGGATCTTCTGGTTAGCAGCCAAGTGCTTAACCATTGTGCCACCAAATCAAGACTCCAAACTCACTTCCACTGAGTTGATTCTGACTGATAGTGACCCCCACTGGGTTTCCAGGGCTGTAAACCTTTACGGAACTAGATTGCCCCATCTTCCTTCCGTGCAGTGGCTGGTGTGTTTGAACCAGTGACCTTCCAGTTAACAGCCAAATGCTTTACCAACTATGCCACCAGAGTTTCTTATTATGCCACCAAGACTCCTTAAAACCAAAACCAAACCCATTGCTGTTGACTCGATTCTGATTCACAGCACCCCTAGAGGACAGAACAGAACTGCCCCATGAGGTTTCTAAGGCTGTCAATCTTCACAGAAGTGGACTGCCACATCTTTCTCCTGCAGAGCTGCTGGTGAGTTTGAACCATCAACCCTTTAGTTAGATGTTGTTGTTGCTGTTAGGTGTTGTTGAGTCAGCTCCAACTCACAGTGACCCTATGTACAACAGAAAGAAACACTGCCCAGTCATGTGCTAGCCTCTCAAACTGTAAGCCCTTTGTTACAATCACTGTATCAATCCATCTTGTTGAGGGTCTTCCCCTTTTTTGCTGACCCTCCACTTTATCCAGCATGACATCCTTGTCCAGGGAATGGTCCATTCTGACAACATGAACAAAGTAGGTGAGACGAAGTCTCACCATCCTTGCTTCCAAGGAGAGTTCTGGCTGCACTTCCTCCAGGACAGAGCTGTTCATTCTTCTGGCCGTCCATGGTACTTTCAGCATTCTTCGCCAACAGCACAACTCAAATCATCAAGTCTTCTATGGTCTTCCTTATTCACTGCCCAGCCTTCACATGCATATGAGGTGACTGAAAAGTCCATGGCTTGGGTTAGGCACACCTTAGTCTTCAAAGTGACATCTTTGCTCTTCAGCACTTGAAAGAGGCGTCTGGCAGCAGATCTGCCCAGTGCAATACGAGGTCTGATTTCTTGACTGCTGCTTCCATGGGTATTGATTGTGGATCCAAGTAAAACAAAATCCCTGACAACTTTAATCTTTTCTCCATTGATCGTGATGTTGTTTATTGGTCTAGTTGTGAGAAATTTTGTATTCTTTATGTTGAGGTGTAATCCATACTGAAGACTGTGGTCTTTGATCTTCATCAGTAAGTGTTTCAAGTCATTTTTACTTTCAGCAAGCAAGGTTGTGTCATCTGCGTATCACAGGTTGTTAATGAGTCTTCCTCCAATCCTGATGCCATGTTCTTCTTCATATAGTCCAGCTTATCAGATTATTTGCTCAGCATACAGATGATGATACAAGTATGATGAATGGATATAACCCTGATGCACACCTTTCCTGATTTTAAACAATGCAATATCCCCTTGTGACAGCCTCTTGGCCTATGTACAACTTCCTCTCAAACACAATTAAGTGGTCTGGAATCCTCATTGTTCTCAATGTTATCCATCATTTGTTATGATCCATACAACTGAATGCTTTTGCACAGTTAATAAAACACAGGTAAACATCTTTCTGGTATTCTTTTTTTCAGCCAAGATCCATCTGACATCAGCAATGTTATTCCTTGCACCGTGTCCTCTTCTGAATCCAGCTTGAATTTCTGGAAGTGCCCATGTCATGAAAGGGTGTTGAGTTTGTCAAATGCCTTCCCTGCATCTATTGAGAGGATTATGCGGTATTTGTCCTTTACTCTCCTGATACAGTGTTAGTACATTAATTGATGTTCAGATAGTAAACGAGCCTGCATTCCTGGGAAATGTTCCACTTGGTCTGCGGTGTGGCCCACAATCTGATTTATACGGTGCCACTGGACTCAGTTTAGAGGGGTTGTTTGTACCTTAACTCACAGCAGAGAAAGCGATGATTTGATCCCAGTCTTGGTTCTGCTCTGAACTGCTGTGTGGGCTCAGGCAGCTTGCTTAACTTCTCTGAACCTTAGTCTCCGGCTTTAAAGGACGGGGATGATGAGTGAACTCTCTCACTGGTATGCTGTGAGGGTGATATGAAATAATGTGCCTGGCTGATAAGGAATAAGTGCTCAGCAGAGGGTAATTCCTATTTTCTTCTGAAATACAAGTCCAGATGAGAGATCCACATCGAGCCTGCTCTGCTGAGGGAGCCCCGGTGGTGCAGGGGTCAAAGTAATCAGCTGCTAACCGAAAGGTCAGCAGTTTGAACCCACCACCACTCCACAGGAGAAAGATGAGGCAGTCTGCTTCTGTGAAGACTGATAGCCTAGGAGACCCTGTGGGGCAGTTCCACTCTGTCCTCTAGGGGCGCTGTGGGTCAGAATGGACTCCACGGCAGTGGGTGTGGTTTGGACTCTACTTCTGTGAAGATTGACAGCCTTGGAGACCCTGTGGGACAGTTCCACTCTGCCCTCTAGGGGCACTGTGGGCCGGAATCCACTCGACATCAGCGGGTTTTTGGGCTGTTCTGTTGAGGAGTACCATTTTTAAGCAGGAGAGTCAGAAAAACCAGGGGATTTGCCATCTGGAAGAAGCTAGCAAACTTGCCAACAGAGCTCAAAACCATTGTGTCCAAAGCTCCTTCAGTTTCCATTGGATTGGATGTCTTTAACCACTCAGCTCTAAGAAGCCACCTTCCAGACCACATGCCCCACTGGAAAAGCAATCTGCTGAGGCTCTGGGAGGAGTCTCCACACAGGAGTGTCTACACCTGTGCCAGGAAGCAATCCACAGCCCTGAGGTGAGGCTTGGAGAGTCAGGCAACAATTGGGTTCATTTCACCAGGATGGATCCAAAGCTTTCCCACGGAAGGCAGTTGAAAGGTGCTTATATTGAAAACATTTCAAGCAGTCCTTTGAAAATGCAGCAGGAGAAGCAGTTTGGGGTGGTGGGTACTGGGTGGTGAGGAAGAGGAGAGTTTGGATGGGCCACGTTGAGTTCAAGGCATTGTGGGGAGGTGTCCAGCATGTGACAGCCAGTGCATGTGAGCCTCAGGCTGGGGATGGAGTGCAGCTCCTGGTGCAGGTGGGACCTCAGGGAGCCACATTCATTACAGGGGTCAGTAGAAGTACATGGCCCTGAGCAGATTTCAGAAGAGCTTCCAAGATAAGACAGAGCAGGAAGAAAGGCCTGCAAGTAACCTCTGAAAATCAGTGAAAAGCCTATGGATCACACAGGTCTGATTCCATTGTGCATGAGTTGCCACGAGTCAGGCCCAACTTGATGGCAGCTAACAAGAAGAGAAGTACCGAAAGCAGATGCTGCAGGAGCGCTTGGCAGGGTGTGAGCAGACCCAGGAGAGAGCAGTGTCATGGACGCTGAGGGAGGAGACCTTTAGGAAGTGGTGAATCTGAACCATGCTGAATGCAGCAGAGAGGGAGACTTGGAGACCGAGACATTCATTGGCCAAAAGGAAGCCCAAGAAGAGCTTTGAGAGAACAATTTCCATGAGTGCTGAGGGCAGCAAGGTGATGGCAGTGGGCTGAAGCCTGAGTGGGCATGAGGAGACGGACTGGTCTTTGGAGAAGCTCAGCAGGGGGCAAGACAGAGAGCGGGGTGGCTGGGCCATGTAGGTGCGAGTGTAAGCTCCCTAAAAGATACTGGAAGAAGGCTGGAGACTGGAACTCCAGGGGGGCAGAGGCCCACCTTGAACAGTCTGGGGCCCTCCCCAGCAGCCCAGTTGCCATGGTAATACAGCTGCAGCCCTGCCCTTCCTGCGGTGGAAGATGGAAAAGCCGGGATGCTTGAACTTAATGAGTCTATTTGGATAACAAATGTTGATCCTGGGCTGCGTCCAGAACGACACGGCACAGTTCCATTAGGAGGGGACAAGGATCAAAGCTGAGATCATTCAACCTGTAGCCCCTGCACTTGGACCATCCCGTTCCAGTTCACAGACGTCCATTATGCACGAGCCCCGCTCTCATCGATCACGCCTGCGAATGTTCCCACCATCCCCTGGCAACCTGCATGACACTGTCCCAGCTGCTGGACCTGCCAGCCGGCACAACTGTATTACCGTGGGCCATTTCAAATTAGTGGCTAGCATCCACAGGACAATTTCAATTTGCTTGTCTGCAGTTAGTGCCACAAAACAGCCACGGCAGCCAGCTTTAACAAAGCAGGCAATTCCCTGGCGGAGGCCCTACTGTGGTGCCAGGCAAGGCTCGCTAGATGAAGTAACAAAGGCTAATGGTGCAGAAAATGCAGGCGCCCACGGCAGAGCCTCATTGTTCACCGCTGTGCCGGGCACCCGCACAGCGAGCCGACGGCCCCCGCTGCAGCCTGGAGGCCAGGGCGTGCGCTCAGGAGGAGGATCGGGCCAGGGCCAGCGCCAGGCAGGGCCAGGGGGTGCTCGCTGAAGTGGCAGCAGGGGTGGGCTTGGACCTGGACCCTCCTGAAATCCTAGAGCTGTAAGCCTTCTGGGGGAAAAACCGGAGGCTGTGGAGGACACGCGGGCGCAGCAGGCATGTGGTTGGGGGAGGGGGGCTCCGGGGGAGGAGAAGTCCCCCAGGCAGTCCTCCTGACGGCTCTGGAGCCATGGCAGGCGGGGAGGGGCTGGCAGGGGTGGGGGTGGACTATCAGATGGCTGGCCTGCAGGCGTCCAGCGTCTCCCTGCATCATGGAGACGAGCAGGGCTTGGCCTGGAGTCTTGGACCCGATTCTGAAGCCCAGCTCTGTGGCCACCCAGCTGCGGGCCTGTGAGGTCTGGGGCCTTGCTGTGAGCAGGGGCCACTGCGCCTCCTCCCAGGACTCTGGGAGCTGCCTGTGTGCGTGACGTGCCTGGTGAAGGGCAAGTGTGCAATCCGGGCCACTCTGCCTCATGGTGTCCATGTCTTCCTATGTCCAGGGACCTGGTGGCCTGGGCAGAGCCTGCGCTCAGCAGCCATCCTGACAGCCCCACTGTGCCCGCCTCTCTGGAGGCCTTGGTGCTGATGGCAGTATGACTGGCGGGAACTTTCACAGCCAGGGTCCAGAGGACAGGGTCCGGAGTGTGGCCTCCATCCCCGTGGATGAGATGTTGGGGTTCCGGGTCCTTTGGTCCAGAGTGGCTGCTTGTCCCGTGGCTGGAGCCAACAGAACACCCTCAGTTTCTCTACAGATGAACCTTCTTCTCTGAGCCAACGCCTTTGGGATCTGGTGCCTTCGGGGCAGAGGCTGGGTCAAGTGAGGCGGGTGGTCAGGAGGACGCTGGGCATCCAGCAGGTCGAGTGAGGCAGCGAGATGTGGGGAGACAATGCCCCTGAGGCCTGCTGCCTGTGGCCAGCTGTCTTTTTCTTCTAATTCCTTTTCTAACTGTGATAAAATATATATAACTTGCCACTTTTACCATTTTGAAGTGTGCAATCCAGTGGCATCCATGGCACTCAGGACGTCGGGCAGCTGTCACCGCTGTCCGTTCCAGAGCTCGTTCACCCCAGAAGCACCCGTGCCTCGCTCCCCTGCTCCGGGAACCTCCCCACTTTCCTAACAGTCCTCCAGGCAGATACTTTATACAGGTGGAATCATACAGCCCCATGACTGTCTTCACTCACATTTTTGAGGCTCCTCCATGTGGAAGCATGCACCACACTTAGTCCTTTTCATGGCTGACTGATACTCCTGCGTGGCTTTGGCTGCGTCTTCAGAAGCGGGGCTGGGGCAGGGTGGGTGTCTGGTACTGCACGGATGCCAGGTGGTGGCCTGGGGCCCCGGTGGCTGAGAAACTTGGTCAGGGCAGGAGTTTCCGAGCTGGCAGGGCGAGCTAGGCTGCAGGAAGCCCTGTTGTGTCTGAGGGGCAGGCCTGCGGGTGCAGTGTGCTGTCTGAGCAGACACGGAGCCTGTGTGGAGCGGGGAGGTGCTGGGGGAGCCGGAGCTGGGGGCCTGGACGGCCGCGGTGCGCTCCGACTCCTGATGACCCCACGTGTGTCTTTGATGGCCCCACTGGTTCTCAGTGGCTGAGTTTTCGGATGTGCGTTGTCAGGCCTTCCTTCTGAGGCACCCCTGGGTGGACTTGAACTTCCAGCCAAACACATCAGCTCTTCGTGCCCCTGGGACTCTCGGGCTGTGTCCACTGGATCATATTCCAGCCTCACCTTCAGCCCCTCCCTAAACCTCTTCCAGCCCCTCCCACCAGTGAACACGTCCCACTCCTTTTACTCCCCATGGACTCAGGTGTCTAGGTGAGCAGGGCACAGGGTGTGATGAGCAGGTGGCTGTAATGACTGACAGCAAGCCGACAGCTCGAAGGACCCTGAGACAGCGGGAAGGTGAGGGAGGTATTGTGCCTTTGGAGTCTTTCAGCTGTGAGGGGTTTGACCGACCCTCCGGCCAGCCTTTCAGCCGCAGGGTAAGGAAGCAGAGGCTCAGAGAGGTTCAGCTGCTTGCCCCAGGACCCACAGTGTGAGGCGAACAGCAGAGCAGGCCCGGCACTCACGTCTCTGGGCGCCAGGCCAGTCTGTCCGGGACCCACTCTGACGCGCCTGTGGGAGACCGAGCTCTGCTGGCTGCAGCTCTGACCTAGGGTTGAGCAGAGCCCTGCACTTGAGGCTCATCATCTCCTCCCCTTGGCATGAAGGGCAGCCGTGGATTTTGTATTTTCTCAGTGTAGCCATTTAGTCAGCAGAGGGAGCCACCCCCAGAGCCGCAGACCCAGTCATCAGCGGGGTCTCTTAGCACTTTCTGAAACGCAGAGCAATCAAGGCTCATGTGGGAAAGAGATGGGGCTTGCATTTAGCCCACATCACCTGGGCCTGCGAAGCCCATGTCCACTGCATAGGGGCAGAGCCTGCAAGCCCTCGTGAATGTCCTCCTCAGCTCATAGTCCCACTACCTGCTGTTGTGCGACTCCGTGTGGAATAACAAGCTACGTATGGGCACCTTTTCTAACTTGTGGGAAATACGCTGGTGCAGGGAGGGAGCGTGCGGAAGGGGCTGCTGGCAGGAGAGAAGAGGAGGAAGATGCCATGGGAGACGGCTGGAGGCGCCGGGGCACCGCTCCGCAGTCCGGCCCAGGGCCCTGGTGCGTGGTTCCTGTGCTGCCGGCCGTCTGGTAGTTACACTGCCAACACCTGGAAGGCCGAATCCTTAGCCTCGTGGGTACCATCTGCTTCCCCGAGCAGGGCTCTCTCCCTTGGGACTCATGTGTTTGGTTTTAAAGCCCCAGGCCCCCCACTTCCACACCCACTCTCATTTTCTTCTGGATGGTAAGTCGTAAAGTCAGACGAGCACTTGAACGCCAGAGAGCAATGCAGGGAGCTTAAAGCCCACGCGCTACCTTCCTCCCGAAATGGAAGCGGGTCTCAAAGCGCAGAGGTGGGCCCCGCCGGCCCACCAGGAGGAAGGCAGAGGCCCGCGGCGTCGCCACGGACACACTCACCTTCTTTTCGTTGTTGGGCACTCTTTTGTAGAAGGTCTTCTCCGTGTCTCCGATCCACAGCACGGACGGCTGCAGCTGCCGCGCCACCTACGAAGAAGGAAGAGAGCCTCTTGAGGACGCCTTTGGCTCTTGGGTGGACACCCCATCACCCGGGGTCTGCGACACTTGGTGGCGCCCCAGGACAGGCCGTGACAGCAGCCAGAGCCGCGGAGGGATGCGCGTGCACGGAGGCAGCGCCCCCTGCTGACGGGGCGTGCGTCCTGGTGCGCAACCTGCCGGACGCAGGGACCTCCTCCTGGGCAGGCGGGCGCACCCTACTCCGGCACCTCGAGCACCCCTTGGTTTGGCTCGAAGTCAGTGCAAATGGAGGGGACAGGGCCGCGAGTGTTCACTGCAGTTTACTTGGGGTTCGCAGGTTTGTGCAGCTTGGGTACCACGAGGAAGTCCGCTCCTGCTGCAGGGCTCCGCCATGCTGTTGGTGCCTGTGGGTCTGGCGGTGCTGTGGTGGCCCAGGCTCCGCCCCGGAAGTGGCCGGCCCTGCCGAGGCGCGCCCGCGGATAATCGCGCACACCTGACAGGCTTTTCAAAGCGCCCCAGGCCAGCGCAGTGCAGACATTTCTGCAGCCCTTTGGCTTTGTGGGAAGCGGTGGCAGATAAAAGCTGGCCCAGCCACAGCGAGTGGGGCATTACGTACGCCTGTTTTTGTGTTTTTAAAAACATCATTAAGGCAGCGGGTCGGATTCTAAACTGACAGCCAGTCAAGGGATGCTGATTCTCCGGGTCTGGCATAGCAAAGACTGTCAGGACGCCATAGCACATCACACACGTTCAAAGACAAAACTGGTCACGGGCTGGACTTGACGCCCCACTGGTGCGACGCCTGGCCTCACGCATCCCCAGCCCTAATCGTCGGGGGCACAGAGGGCAGCCAGCACCGCTCGGTTGCCTTTAGTTTTCAGAGCCAGAGCTGCAGGGGTTAAGGATTGAGTCCCACGTTCCCACCCCAGCAGGTGAGGCAGCGGGTGTGATGCCAACAGGAGCCCCAGGAGTGGAGGAGTGCCAGGGTGCCCAGCCACCTGGTCCCGTGCAGCCGCACGCTCCGTAAGAGCCAGCCCGCACCACACGCTGTGGTCGTCCTCACTACAGTCCTGCGAAGTGGGCAGCATTACTATCCCTGTTTATAGATGGGAAAACTGAAGCTCGAAGACGTCAAAGTCACACAGCCAGAGAGGGGCAGAGCCGGGAGTCCAGCCCAGGTACGGCTGTGGCACCTGTTGGAACCACGAGGCTACATACAAACACCGTCTTGTTTAGTCTTTACCACAGAAGAGGAGGGCTGAGCCTCGGGGCCCCTGGTTAGAGGTGGAAACACTGAGGCCCCGATGGACAGTAAAGGGCAGCATTGAGGCGGACTCAGAAGCCAGGATCTCCTCGTCCCAAAGGCCTCGCTCTTTCCTACATCAGGGAGAGACCTCTACCCCCAACTCTGCTGGATTTGGGGGTGGCCTACACTTGGGGGTGGTTTATTTTGGCCTTGACATGGGAGTTTAGTTCTGGTGCCAGAATCTGAACTGGTAGTAACCCATTTCTGGGTTGAAAGCATTTGAGAAAAAGGCCATCATATGTTCAGTACAAGTGTCATCATAATGGATTTACACAAAGTTCCAGCCGAGGAACAACCGTTGGCCCCTCCCCGACCGGAGCAAAGAAGGGTGAAGACAATCAAAGACACAAGCAAACAACAAGTTCACAGGACTGAGGGAGCACACGGACCCCGGCCTCCACGACCCGCAGCCTCCACGACCCGGAGACCAGAGGAACTAGATGGTGCCCAGCTCCCACTGCCGACCACTCTGCAAGGGATCCCTGTAGCAGGCCCTGGATAGAGTGGGGGAAAAACATGGAACAAAACTCCAAATGATGAAAAGAGCAGGCTTATTGGTCTGATAGAGAGTCATGGAGGCTGTGGCCCTTAGTCGCACTGCAAGCCTGGAACTGAACTCACCCTTTCCCCTGTGGCTCAACTTCCAAGCAGATGACAGAAAGGCCCATGAGTGAGCAGTAACATGGGGAGGTAACACACTCCCGAGAACCACCAACCGTTGGAGAGCAAAAGGGCAGCACTGGCCCAGAGACAGAGCTTCAAGGCAGGAAGGGACAGGAAAGAAGGACAGACGGCAACCACAGGAGGAGGAGCATGAAGAGTACTGATACAACGGATGCCATGAATCAAAATGTGTATGAACTGGTGAATGGAAAACCAGTTTTCCCCTGTAAATTTTCACCCAAATCACAATAAAAAGTTAAATAAGGAAAAACCCAATTTTTGTTGCACACAGAGATCTTGTTTCCTCAAATCCAGTTATACTATGGTGCTTCTGGAATCACAAAGCTGTTTTATTTAAAGACCAACCATCAAACCAGCTGATGCTATGCTCACACTGGCCCAGCTGCTCGGTCCCCAACAACAGCATCTGTAGGAGGGAAAACACCGCAACTGAAATGAGCTCCTCTGTCTCCTCCCCATCGCCTATTCAGAACTGTTATTAAAATTAACTCCTTGCTTTGACAAAAACCCACCTCTCGAAGATTGGGCAACCTACTTCTGTAGTGATACTGCCTCAGAAACCCAAGCAGGGGTTGCTATGAGTTGGATCTGACTCCACGGCAGTATGTTGCATTGCATTTGCGTTGGAGTTGATTTGAACAAAAATCAACACTCTTATGTGTCCAATTTATTAAGTCTTTCTCCAGCTTAAAAATCCTGAAAGATTCAGAACGGCCATGAGGGAAATTCCAAGCTTTTGATACGTCTGACAGGCCCAGGTAAAAGGGCATCTCAGCAAGGGATGCGGGCAAGGTCAAGGCCCTTCAGGACCAGAGCTCCCCTGTGCTCCCTGAGCCAACCTGTCATGACTACTTACTGGATACCTAGTCTCTGCTACACATTGGGGCCGGGCAGAGAGACAGGGCATGGGTGCTCCCTGAGCCATGCTGACCTCCAACTTGGAAGCCATGGGACATGACACCCAGTCAGAGGGGGGCCTCAGTACCAGGGGCTGCTGGAGACATGTTGTGGACTTTGCAGGTAAGAGGCCACTGCATGGAGACAGGGCAGTAAGTGAGGAGTAGGCGGAGGGCACCCTGGATAAAGGGGACAGCCTCCACTTTTCGTAACCATTCAGGGTCCTCATTAGGATCACCTGGGAGCTTTGACATAATGATGCCCAGGTTCACCCCGGAGATGCTGATGTATGGGGTGCTGCTGGGCATCTGGAGCTGTTAAAGCTCCCGGCTGGCCCTGGTGCACAGCCGTGGTTGGGAGTCATCACCGCAGGGGATTCCCACCACACGCTCACTTAGAACACTCAGCTCAGTCCTGAGGTTGGGTTCCCCAAGTCCCTGTCTTGGTTTCTTTGTACCCACCCCTCCGATGCAATCATGCACTCTCGTGGCTTCAGATTACCTCCTGTCTGCTGATGACGTCTTAAGCCCAGCTCTGCAGCTCCAGGTCACACCTTCCCCAGCTCCAGGTCACACCTTCCCCAGCTCCAGGTCACACCTTCCCCAGGGCCTCATACCCCTCCATGTTGTCAGCCTCTTGGAAGCCTCCGAACTCCAGATGGCCAAAGCTGAACTCACCACTTCCTCTTCACCCTGCAGGCCTGCTTCCTGCTCATGTTCCCTAAGGATCCCCTCATACATTTCCCAAGTCAGAGACTTGAGTAGCCACCCGTCACGTCTAATGATCCTAGATTATTATTCATCCATTCCACCTCCTCGGTTTCAGCTCCATCGAGCCTTCTAGTCTCTTGGCTTCTCAGCTTTCTCTCCAATATGGCTTGTGTGCTGTGATCCGGGAGGATCTGGCTAACCTGCCTGAGGAAGGCAAGCACCAAAGAACCACTGTTCCACTAAAAGCTACACTGAGGTTAGGTCAAAAGCGTCCCTATTTCCAGCGCCAAGATGATATAAGAAAATGTGACGGCACTTGTAGAAGGCTTTAAGCTTCTTAGAAAAAAATCATTTATAATAACAAAGGCAAGATCTTATTCTTTTCAGTCCCTCTTAAAAATCGGTGTTAGAACCCAAACCAACAGAAAAACAATTCTCTCATGAACCACCACCTCTTGTCTTAGGCAATGGTGAGCAGCCACATGTCTCTCCACGCCCAGCTGGCGAGTGATGGGTTTTCCATGTTCCTCTCTGTGCGCCCTATTGTCCCAATCCAGCGTTCCTTAATGGGAATTACAGATGTGACTGCCCAGTAATGAGCACTCCTTTTTTCCTTCTGCTTGTAGCAAAGTCAAACTTGAGTTCTAGAAGTCTCACTAACTTGGGGTAATTTTGGTACTGGTTTAAGATTGTTTTGAAAATGTGGCTCCATGTTTCCTTTGGATGTGAAAGCTAACACTGTTCCTTGTACTCCTATGGTCTTTCGAACAGAGTGGGGGAATTCCACACTTCCTTTCTTTTTTAACAGACACCTGGGAAAGAATTCTTTTCCCAGGGCGCTAATGTGCTCTGGGGCAGCCAGGGCTGTGTGAAGGACCTTTTCTTGGAAGTGGCTTGCTTTGGAAGGGCGCAAAGATTATCAACTGAAATGGAACACATTTCCCAAGAGGGTTCTTCAACAACAGTAATACAGCTACCGTTCTGTCACAAAGCACTTTGACAGCCATCGTATCACCTCTATCACCTCTGTTCTCACGAGTAGCCTGTGTTTATCGTACGCATATGCTGCGCCAAGCCTTAGCTCCCTTTTACACATGAGGAAACTGAGGTAGAGAGTGGGTTAGGTAACCCACCTGGCATCACAAGAGCAGTGGTGGAGTCCGGCTCTAGATGTGGGTCTGTCTGACACCGGGTCCCTGGTGGTACTACTAAGCACCCACTCTGGCACTGCGGAAGAAAGGCCTGCCGGTGGCCTTCTGCAGAGATGACAGCCGAGAACGCCCGATGCAGCAGCACCCTCCGTACACAGGGGTCACCAGCAGTCAGGATGACCTCGGCGGCAGAGGGTCTGGTTCTGTTTTCCGTCTCCCACCCCAGGCCTGTTGTAACCAGGAGGCATCCTGTCACATCAC